GTCTAGCCGCAGGTATGGCTCCAACTGCTGGAGGTGGTATCTGACCCTGATACTGTTGCCACATCCTCTCGCAGAACTGTCGAAAGTCCTCTGGCATGGGGTTAGGGATAGGTGCTTCCGCTGCCCCGAGTCTAGGCGCAGGTCGTGCACGTCGTGGAGGCATAGTCACTGTAGACATTGAAAAGGAGACTTAGTCTCGGTGACTTCGAGATCATGCATTAACTTTTCAACACATTGTCTGTCAAAAATAGAAAACTTTTAAAAATCATGTTTTTGAAAACCTTCTCAAAACATTTTTACTGATATCAAGTTTTCGCATATTCTTTTCCGAGGAAAGAACTGCTCTGATACCAAATTGTGACACCCGTAACCCCGTATCCCGCTTACAGGTTGTGCCACGTGGACAATAAAATCACAATCGGAAAATTTCGAAATATAAACTCGCGGGAAAGTTAAAACGATCCATTTTAAATATAATACAGCGGAAGACATTATAAAATACATCAATACGTTCGCACACGCTTGGAACGGTACCAGTACATAATACAAGTGGTGTGAAAACTATAACACAAAAAGTTCGAAGATCACCACTCTTTATTTTTGAAAACAGAATGCGTTAAAGATAATTATACATGATCAGGAAGTCTAGCTGTCACCGGGTCCCGTGTCTGCCTCAGTCACTGTTGCTGCTCACGACCTGAAACGTTGCATATCTCCAGCAGGGTGACCGTTCTGTTGGTGACTATGAGGCGGAATTTACTAGGCTCCTACGATATGGAGCTAATCTTGTTCCTACCGAAAGATTGAAGATTCAGAAGTTTGTTGCTGGTCTTCGCCCCTCTCTGCGAAGGAAGATCGAGGTACTGGAGTATCCTACCTTGAACCGATACATCTGCCAGCTCGAGAAGATGGAGCGAGGCGAGCGTGAGGAGCTGCAGGAGGCCCGGATCCGAGACCGAACCCCAACCAGAAGATTCTTCATTAGTCGACCTTCCACCAGTACTGGTCAGACTAGTGACTCCCGAGACAAGGGGAAATTACCGGCGGTTCGGCCACCACCACCACAGTCATCCCAGAGGAGGCCTTGTCCCCGATGCAGGCGAGTCCACTTTGGACCATGCAGTACTCCTCCGACATGTTACCAGTGTGGACGATCGGGACACATTGCGACATACTGCCCGGAAAAGGGGACCGCCCCGACGAACGCCAAACCTCTTCGCATTCAGCCTTTACAGCAGTCTGGCGTTGCACCGAGAGTTTACGTGTTGGCGGCAGAGGCCGATACTCAGGGCGAGGAGTACTACGTTGAAGAACCAACCGCTGAAGATACTGTTGCAGAGGAGGACTCCGAGCAGACCGATGCTGCCGCTATTACTGGTACTTTGTACATATATGATATTTCTTGTCATGCCTTGTTTGATACCGGGGCTACACACAGTTTTCTGAGTGTGAAGAAAACTGATGAGTTAGCTTTTACGGATGTCGATACTACTAGTCGATATCAGATACGTACGCCCGGCGGAGAGATCCTTCCTATGCGCGGAATATTGCATGACATGCCATTACAAATTTGTGGAAGGGATCTTCCTGCCGATTTGATTATCGTACCTATTCAAGGGTACGATTTGATATTGGGAATGGATTGGTTGACTCTACATCGAGCACACATTGATTGTCGTCGACGAACTATTCAATTTACGGATTCGACGGGACATTTTGAGTTCGTTGGGGACAAGGTACAAACGTCATTCCCGATTATATCAGCCCTCCGAGCTAGAAACATGGTTCGAAAAGGGTGTCATGCCTTTCTCATCGTGATTACTGCATCAAAGGAAGTTGATGGGAAGCTTGAGGACACTCCAGTGGTTCAAGAATTCGGGGATATATTTCCAGACGACTTGCCTGGACTACCACCACAGAGAGAAGTCGATTTCTCTATTGACGTGATACCGGGTACGGAGCCGATATCCAAGACTCCCTATCGAATGTCTCCTACTGAGATGGCAGAGTTGAAGAAACAATTGAATGAATTAGTGGAGCAGGGATTCATTCGACCCAGTGTATCTTCTTGGGGTGCACCCGTACTATTTGTGAAGAAGAAGGATGGCACTATGCGACTCTGTATTGACTATAGAGGACTTAACCAAGTAACCATCAAGAATCGGTATCCATTACCAAGGATTGATGAGTTACTTGATCAGTTACAGGGAGCAAAGTGGTTCTCCAAGATTGACTTACGATCGGGATACCATCAGATTCGTGTGATGACCCGTCCGGTCTTTTTTGTTTGATTTATGTACTTATTCATTTATTTGTTATTATTATTATTTTATATATATTTGAATTTTTCGTGTTTCTTTGTCTAGAACCTTAGTCTGGTCGGTGTGTAACCCGTCCGACCCGGTCTAGACTTTGAATATTATTAAACACAATAATTCATAGATATAAAAAAAATAATCATAAATATTCATGCAACACGAATCAATCAACAATTTTACACACACATTCAAACTCCGAAGACAATAAAAATAAAATTCTCGAATCACATCCAAATTCACTCACCTTAAATTATGCCGGTTGATTTTTATGGTGCCGATTGCTTTCCGAATTAATTGGAATTTGGAATCTCCTCCCTGATTTTTAATATATATATATATATATATATATATATTTTTATAAATATTATATTTATTATTATTATTTTACTATTATATTTATTTTTATTTTTTACTCTTTTTCTTTTCTTTTTTTTTTTACTCTCTCTCTCTCTTTTTAATTATTATTAATAATTAATTAATTTGTTAAAAAAAAATCAGATTATTATACGCAGGCAAGAATGAATTTCAGCGGAAAAACGTTGGTAAACAGAGAGGTTTTAGAATCTTTTTCGCTCTGATACCATGTGCTTTTTGGAGAGAATATTAAACAGGGAACATAAGCTTAGAAGAAGGAACGAAAAGCTTCAGACCAGAGGAAGATGTTGGAAAAGATAATACGTGTTTATTCACTTACCTTACTTAGTATACTATATACAAATATATAGAAGAGTATTACAGCTAAAAAGGAAAAGTAAAGTGCCGTTAGTCTACACATAACTAGGAAAGTGGATGATGGGAATAATGATAAACTAATCTCCTTATTCTCTGGTTTGGATTCTTTATATCAGTATGCGTAACTTGGACCCCTCAATTCGTCACTTGCTTTATCAACGGTTTCGGTCTCTTCGGTTCCCTCAACAGTGATACCAAATTCTGTTGTCGTGAATTGTCTGTGTTTTATGTAACAAATATCAATCGAAATAAAGAGAAATAGAAAAAAAAATCTACTTTTTACTAAAATAAGAATTTAAGGGCAGACATTTCATATTTGAGTTAGACATATTATTATAATATAAAACCCGAATAAAAACCGATAAAATAATTATCTTTCCTTTTTTTTTTTTCATGAATCTTGCATTTGATTTGAACATGTGAATGCCACTGCACAGTATATTGCCCATGCGGTTCACGCACATTTGGTATCCAAATCGAAAGGTGTGCCATTATTAAGTAATGTAAAAAAATAAACTCTATAATGAGTTGTAATTGCAATGGTCACAAGTAAGATTCCATTGGTCGGCTGATGACTTGAAATATAAGTCCAAGCATACTATACATTAGAAACTTACCAAAATCTTGAATATTAAGCAACCAAAAATCTAGTGTCCAATATATAAACCCCTATCTAAGGTGGTGAAGATAAATTGATTTGACAGATGATTTTGTATTTTTTTCTTATTGTTTATTAATGTGACGACGACATTTTATATATTGGGGTTATAAATGGGTATGGACCTCGAGATGAACAATTATTGATCATATTTTTTTTAATATTTAAAAGAAATTTAGTTTAAGGATTTGTAGCGAACCTTAATACTCGTGAAATTTAGTTTTCTTATACGTATAGCGATCATTTGGGGTTTTTATCGATCTAACTATTTTAAAAGAATGGCCTCTAAGAAAATTAAATTTAGTTTTCTTAATTTAGGTTAGTTATTTTGGTTAATAAATATAAATCAAAAGTATTTTTATATTAACATGATTACACGAGATAATCCGTCATAAAATACGCAAACGTGAACACTGAACCTAAAACTCGAATTCTCATCCCGTAGAATCCGACACACACATGGACGGACCCACCTCATTTATAGGCCAACCATTCTTTTTATTAAAAAAATTAGTTTGATTATAAGTTCTATAAATTTTAAATAAAACCCCCCATAAAAAATTTAATCTCATAATTCCGCCACGGTCATCACATGAATAATTACGCTTCTTTTGTTTTTTGGAAATATAAAAATAAAGGGAAGGGTCGGTTGTGGGTCACATGTCAGTGTCATACCGCAATAAACCTAATATATTTCACTATTATACTTTAAAATAGAATTATCTGGTATAAATTAAATACCGCAATAAACCTAATATACATGATTAATCTTAAATATATAAATTAAATACCAAACACTGTTTATTTTTAAAAATATATATATACAAATACGTAAAATTCATTCTAAATACCAAATAAGTACATCAATATTCAAAAAACTTATTAAATAGCATAAATACATTAACGAATTATTAAAATCACATAGACATATAAAGAAATTCACGTTGCATATTAACCGTCAAATCATTAAAAAAAATGATATTTTATAAAACTTTTTAAAGATCACTACACATATATATATATACAAGCTTATGCACGTACACATATACGTACACGTACACATACATATTATAAACAACCCGGTATATATAATATATAGAAAGAATAAAAATATTGACCAGCAGAAACGTGCACGCTTACCTAAAAGTAGAAGACTCCACGTGTATATATTATAATTATTTCTAAATTTTAAAATCCATTATGTGCCAAAAACAACACAAAAAAAAAACCATTAAATTTCATCTATAAATTGAAACTGATGAACTTGTGGTTGTGTGGAGGCCAAAGGAGAAATGGAGAAGAAAAACAGAGTGGCCACATTGCCCCAACCAAACCCCATGTGCGGCGGTGACGGTCCACATAGTTATGCTCGCAATTCTTCTTACCAAGTAAGTAAATATCGGAGCATCAAATAACCATTTCCCCTCATTTCTGTATCAAATCATTTATTTGGATACATATAACGTTACATAACATGTGTTTTTTTTTGTTATACAGAAAGCCGTTATAGATTGTGCAAAAACAAAGATCAAAGAAGTCATTTTAGAAAAACTCGACCTTGCACACATGTGTTTGGATCTTAATACTTTTAAAATCGCAGATTTCGGTTGTTCGGTTGGACCAAACACTTTTGATGTTGTTCAAACCATCGTAGAGACGGTGAAACGGAGATACGAACAACAAAATATTAGAGAAGCCCAAAAACATCTTGAATTTCATGTTTTCTTCAACGATCAATCCAATAACGATTTCAATACTCTTTTTAAAAACCGATTTCTATCTGTTTGTAAACCATATTTTATCGCGGGAGTACCTGGCTCCTTCTACGATCGAGTACTTCCAAGAAACACCATCAATATTGGACACACTTCCTACACACTTCATTGGTTGTCCAAAATTCCCAAAGAAGTGTGCAACATAAATTCTCTAGGTCGGAACAAACACAACATTTCGTGTTCTAATCTGGTGGAAGAGATGTCCAAAGCTTACAAATCTCAGTTCGAGAAGGACATGGGGGATTTTCTTGGAGCTAGAGCGGAAGAGCTTGTGTCCGAAGGTTTCATGATCATGTCGGGAATGTGTTTACCCGACGGTGTCCCAATGGTTCGGACATGGAAGGGTGTTGCCATTGATACGATGCGAGACTGTCTGATTGATATGGCCAACTCGGTAAGATATCTCATAGAATTCGATCTATTCAAATATCAAACCGAGTTCCAAGAAAGGAAATTAAAAGATGATCTAACCCGTCTTTTTGTTTTTTCAACATATAGAGAATACTAAACAAAGAAAGGGTCGAATCGTTCAGTTTGCCTTTATACTTCCCGCATATGAGTGAATTGGAAGAAGTGATAAAGCAAAATGAGTGTTTTAGCATTGAAGTGTTGGAGAGAATGATTCATCCTATGGAGGATTTGCCATTAACCAATGACTTCATAGCCTCGACATATAGAGCCATTTTCCACGGACTCATAGAGGAATTCTTCGGAGATGGGGTGGTCGATGAATTATTCGACCGATTTGCTAAGAGACTAGAGACACACCCCATTGATTTCCAAACATGTGTGAAGGATATTCAATATTTTGTTTTACTTAAGCGGAATTCCCATTGAGATGTGGCGCGAAATTCAGTTGTCACGTTTCGTTTTTATTGTCTTCGAATGTCTTTATGTAATAAATGCAAGTGTTCGAAAACGTTTTGGTTTGGATATTATCAGGATCTGTTTGGATTCAAATAAAAACCTAATTGAATTTGATCCGAATAAATCACTTGAATACAAATTTTAATTATTCAGTTCAAATCCAATTTTATTCGAATTTTATTTGTTTGTGACTTGTGAGGTTAGATATATAATGCTCCTAAGGTAATTGATATTTTTCGTCTACATTTTTTATTTAAATTTAAATAATTATTCTTTCTTAAATTAAGATGTTTTTTTAATTAGCATTTTTAGATATTCTTAAAATTGGTGTAATCACAGGCCCATGGGCTTATGTACAGAAAATAACTTATTCGGCCCGTGACTAATTTCTCACTTAACAAATCTTAACAAGACTGCACAAAGGCCCATGGGCTTATGTACTAAAATTAGCATTTTTAGATATTCTTAAAATTGGTATAGTCATAGGCCCATGGGCTTATGTACAAAAACATTAACTTATTGGGCCCGTTACTAATTTCTCTTTCAAATCTTAACAAGACTACACAAAGGCCCATGGTGCTAAAATAACATTTTTAGATATTCTTAAAATTAGTATAGTCATAGGCCCATGGTCTTATGTACAAAAAAATTTAACTTATTGGGCCCGTTCCTAATTTCTGACTAACAAAAACGAGACTGCACAGAGAAAAAAAGAAAAAAAAATATACGTCATTACGCAAATGAATCTCAAAACAACCAAGGGAATTATAGAGAATTTACATGAATTTAATTTTTATATATTATTCTATTTTCTATAATCTAGAAATTATTTGTACACCCGCTATAAAAATATCTACCAATTTACGCCAAAACAATCACAAAATCTCGAAAACGGTAGTCACTCTTCTCGTTTCTACATGTAAATCGTTTTATATATATATATATATATTGTGATCATTAGATGTCGAAAAAACAAATTAAAAAAAAAACACAAGTCTTATTCATCTCTATTAGTTTATCTCTTCATTGTTCATCACAAACTCCTAAAACCCCAAAAAAAAACAAAAAAAAAATGAGAACACTACTGAACAAAAAGTCTACACTTAGTCCGAGCCACCAAAACTTTCACAGTCGCGACGACGCGAAAAGAGTAGCGTTTGAAACGCGAAACGCAGTCATGCCCTTCTCTTCCCAGTTGGCAATCTTCCCCATTTAAACATAATCGAGCCCAAGCTCGATCCTACACGAGTCGTCATCCTCGCACGTGCCACGAACCTCCACCTTCCTCTTCTTCGCGTGACCGTCGCGTGACATGGGCTCGAGCCCCAGCGTCAGCTCGAGCCCGATCTCCTCCACCGGTGCACGGCTTATCGCCGTCGGCTCCTCCGACACCATACTCTCCTCGTCCTTACTGTCTCCGCCGGCTTCAGCTGCCAGAAACTCGGACTGGTGACTCAGCGACGAGTCGTGACTCGTCGACCCGCCGCATGCATGGCCAGACTCCGCCGCATCCGCAGCCGGAAGCAGCATCTTCTCCGCCACGTCGGGCATCCGCGGCTTCGTCGTCCCAGCGGCTCTCTTTGACCGGCACCGGCTCTTTACGACTCGTCCACCGTCTCCTCCGCCGCCACCGGCGTTATCGTCCCTGGGCACGTGGCGGATGTCATAGACCTTAAGCGGAGGAGCTTCGCCGGTCTCCGCCGCCTCAGAGGCGAGCGCGGTGATCGGAGAGCCCTTCATCACTGCCTCGACGGCGGCTTGGCACAAGTGCCAGTTTCCCGACCACAACAACCCCACGGATCCGTAGATCGGGTTCACAATCCTTCCGCATGCCTCGTACAACAACGACCTAAAAATCGCTGCAACCACAAAATCAAAGAAAAATAAAAAGAAGCCGTGATCAGATTACGTTTGTTAAGTAATAACGTTTCACCAGAAATCGACTCCAAAATCCAACCTTGATATCACTTATGCACAATTAAAGGAGAGAAACAGAACAGAGAGTGATGTTTTTAATTACAAGGACGGAGGTGGTCGGGACCGGCGTTGATGAGGTTGAGGAGGCCGGCTCGGCCGTAGAACTTGGCAAGGAAGACGGTGGCGTTGGCTTGAGCTTCAGCAGATTTGATCCATTGAAGACATGGCCTTATACTGCAGTTTTCGTTACACCCTTTTCTCAGAACTCTACACCCATTACAACTCATCCGCATTTTTACTCTCCGTATACACAAAAAGAAAAACTTTTTTCCCCTGAAGAAGAAGACCGATATGAGAGGAAGAAGATGATTTTTGGTACAGTACGGTCTGAGAGGAAGAAGAGATGTATTTATGAGGAAGAAGAAGAGCTGCTTGGTTTTGGTCGGGGGAATCATAACAGGGGACGATGAAAGCTGTTTTCAATTGCTCTGACGTGTCGTCGTTTCGTTTCCTTAGAATTTTTATTTTATTTTCTAAAAATCCAATGGGAGAGAGTTTGATCTCTTGTCTCCACGCTCCCATTGGCGGCGCGTGTTATTCACCGCCCTCCGGTACTGCATTGTATTATCGACCGTATGTTTACGCCGTACGAGCATTCAATTCCGAATACACCGTATACGAATTGAATTACAAGATTGTTTTTTTTTGGTATCATAATAGAAGTCCGTAAACACTTGTATCGTTATGAAATATCAGAGGACACATGTCGGATACCCGTTGGATTTAGATTCAGAACATTCGAATATTTAATTATAAAATTTATATCCGATATTTAGGATTTACGAGTATTCGGAATATAAATATCCAGGATATTCACATTCAGATTTATTTATAAAAAAATAATATTTATATATAGAATTTTTAAAAAATAAAAATTTATTTATAAAAATAGATAAATTACGATAAAAATATGAGATAATAAGAGATAAATAATAATAAATTTAATTTTTTGAGATAATATTAAAAAATATAAAATTATTTAACTTAAAACAATTATATTTTATAAAAATTTTATATAAATATAAGATATAATTATTTATAATCATAGTAGCGTAGATATCCGATTTTAAAAATTCTATTATTTAGATTTAGATTCGGATTTACGGGTATTAAAAAATCCGGATTTGGATTTGGATATGAAAATTACGAATATCCTAAAATCAGATATCCGCGAGATGAATATCGTGTCCACCCTACCACTTACATCTGTGGTCAAGTTTATTTTCCGTAAATATTTGAACGATTTTATTTTCCTGTTAATTTCTATCAAATATGTAAAGTGACATTACATCTCGATTATTGTTGGAAAAAGAATAAAATCATAATCATAAAAAAGAGGCAGAAAATAGAAATTTAGAATAAACAAAAATCACCAAAAAAAATGTCGTATATTATATCACCATCCTAATTATTCAAAAATCATATACTATAGAAAACTCCTAATTAGCATCTATAGCTATTGACGAATCCAAAAGTTAATCTAGCAAATCATAAACTCTTAAATGATAATTTATTGATCTGATTTTTTTTTATTCTATTAATTTAGAATAAAATAACAAAAAGAACAAATTAAATAATCTCTACTTTACTCTGATGTTTATAAAATGTCCTAAACTCTATCCTCCAAAAAAAACACGAGCACTCGAGTAAGGGTAAAAGGGTAAATTGATATGATACAAAACGCGCGTGGCGAGCACGATATGGCGTCAGAGTTCGGTCGAATCGCCACATATCATGGAGTGGCTTCGCTCTGACTCACTCGCCACCTCGGAATTTTTCTAAATTTATTTATAAACTCATCATCTTTGTTATTACTATAATTTATTATTTATTATTAATAATAAGATTGTTAGAAACCCATATCACCATCTATTATAATAACGACCTTACATCTAATCTAAATAAAAAAACAAATTATTACGTTCTTTTACTATATTAAATAAGTGGTGGTCTATAATATTTTTTTTATTCCCAGGTGCTGACCCTCTATTAAAAAAAACCACGGTTTTTAAATTTATATTGTCAACGAATTTAGATAGATTCTGAAGCTTTCTTTTTGTATTATGATAATTTAAATGTTTTTAGCTCAATTTTAAAAAAGATTTGTTATAAATTAATCAATCCACCAAATAATAAAATGTTCTTATCCTAGACAGGATTTGAAATTGGGGTTTTTTAACCTGATTCCTAAGGTATCCCAAAATGACCAAATAAACCAGCAGTCACCCATTTAATATCATAAAAAAATGAATATAATAATAGTATATGAGTATTTGCATTACGAATCTCTAATGTAAAATAACGAGGAAATGCATATATTTTAAAAATATCACACAATTATTACCAATTTGGGGTTTTGTTTCCTAACACGTATTGCCTAAAATATCCCCGGTTTTCAGGGAAACGTTACCCACGGAGGAAAAACCACTTTTGTGGAAAACAAATACGGTTTCCGGTTTTCTTTACGTTCCCTGTGGGCGTTAATCTAAATGGCTCATCTTTCTATAGCCTCTGGTTTTGGCATTTTTTTCCATTCTTATTTTGCAATTTGTTTTTTTTTTTGGATTTTTACCTATTTTTGAAATTCCACAATTAAATTAATAAAGAAATGGGATATTGGTTTCTTTAGGTCAACACTTTCGATCGAAGTTTAGGTCGGAAATATTTAAGTTTGGTCGGTGGATATCATTGTATTTGAAATTATATATATAAACTTTGCGTTAATTAGGTGTTCTTTAACACTCACATGGTATATGGTCCTACGTAACAATCTCCTCTTAATTAATAAATCTAACCCACCTGTGGTTTTTTTCTTCCTCTCGTTAATATAACCAAGCAATCTATATTATATATATATATATATATATATTGAAAAGAACATAATATTGGATAAAATTGATCGAAATGTTCGTTGTTGAGACGCCTAAACAAATTTCAACGTTTAAAAGAAATTGACTCGTGATATAGCTATATCATTATTGTGAAATTATTTACAAGATATATCGATTCTCCTAATCAAACTTAAATCGTAATTTTCACACGATAGAAAATAAAAATAGAAATAAAAGTATAGTTTACAAGAAATTGGATAAACAATGAGAATAAGACGCAGGCTGCCGAGATTTATCTGATATATAGACCAAACCCAAACGTGCAAATGAGTTGTACTTCACAAAACCCGACAAAATACACCAATATTAAAATAAAATAGGACTCATGCAACAAAACAAAGAAGATAAAAAAAAAATTACGAGCTTGCAGTTTGTTTAATTAGTAGTTACACCGTTTCAAAGTAAATGTCATTATCATAATTTTTAAAAAAGTATAGAAAAAATCCAATATATCTTTCAGCAATCCTAATTCTTATTAATACTCTATTAAAATTTAATATTTTTACTTGATGATAAAAACGGAAATTTTAAGTTATCTTAAATGATATCTATTTAGTAAGAAGAAAAATTTTCTAAAACGATATTAATTATGAAACGGTGGAGTATTCTATATTATTGTTGTTAACTTGATATTTTTCGACCAACTTATAATGCTCGAATCGATAATTTGCCACATCTTTCTACTTATTTGAAAACTTCTATCATATTTTCATTATTACTACATTAAATCCACCCGTTAACCTCGGCATTTTTGGATTTACACTGTACCGAAGAAATATAGGAAGATCCAAAATCTTAGAAAAATTAAGATGAAAACAAAAAAGGTATAAAAAAACAAAACCATAAAAAGAGGGAAAAGCATTGAACCGTTTGTGAAATTCTTATCTTTTGTGATACGGTGAACTGAGAAGAGAGACAAGTGGAGGAGAGCTGGGTGAAGATGCCATGCAAATATGTCCAAAACAAATTTAGGGTTTCATGTGGGCGGCGCGTGAATGTCACGTCCTCGTCCGCCTCGACGGTGATTAGATGTGCCTCCAATCACTTCCATGATTTTGGGAGCAAAAGCCACACTCTTCAATAAAATAATAATAATAATAATTATTATTATTAAAAAATAAAGTTGAAAACTGTGGGCTCGTTCCCCTTGGTTTTTGGATATCACGAAACTTAATCTTTAATTTAAATAAACTTATTACGCTTTCTTTTGGCTTTTTTGATGCATTGTTAGACAAATTATTCAACAACTAAAATCTTCTTCATAAATTTAATTTAGAATCATTAGTTATGAAGCTTGCATAAGACTATTCCTCCCCTGTGGAATTTGTAAATTTCAAGCTTTTAACAACTCCATAAATGTTTAGACAGATCAAAAAATGAGATTATAAATATAAAAAAAATTAGTAAATAATTATATCCCAGATAGTTTATAAAATCAAATAATAATTTCAGGCTAACTAACAACTACGATAACTTTAACAAGTTTTAGGCGGCGGCGGCTAAATTCTCGGGAGATTATTTTATTTCTTCTCACAATTAAAATATGGTGATGTGGTTGTGTCTCCAAGCAGTTTTCGATTATGAGTTCCTTTGCATTATTAAAATAATTGTATCAAAATTTCAAAACCAACGACTCATGATAATAATAATATGCCTATTAAATGTGTTTTATGTCAAATCATATACTATAATATATATATACGTGTGTGCATAGTATAGTTGTATACGCATATGATGACGTTGTCCACAATGTAGTAAAGATAATATGAATTTACTTTACCTCTATTTTCAGTAATAATTATAATATTGTTTTATGTTTTTTTTTTGTTTTTTTTTTCTAGTTTTAGCAAACCGTAACGGATGAGGGAAAAAGAATACGATCATCCTAGAGCAAATTCAACCGTAACAGAATTTTTTTTTTATAAAATATAACTCTTAATATAATTAAGAAAATCAAACTAAATAACAGAAATAATTTCTATAATTTCAAATATTCATAATATTCCAATAAATAAATTGACATTGTATCTTCAATTTTCTATATCTTATGAGATCGCCAATCTATATTATATCTAATATTATAAAAAAAATAGTATGAGAAATTAATAGAATATTAAACTACAAAACATGTTATATGTTAAAATATGTTATGAAATATTAAGATCTTAATATGAACGATAAAAAAATTTGGATATTAAAATATCTAGGTCATAACAATTTTGGTATTAAATATATTTTAAACCAAAATTACCATATAGAATCTGTCTTTACATGACATTTTGTCATGTGGACTTTCTTTAATGATAGCTTTGAGGTTCATCCCCCCAGGGTCCATTATTTGGTTAATGTGTTTAATTTCTTAATCGCCAGTTGAGTATTATCTAATTAAATGGAATCTGATTATTCCAATTACCCGGTTTTATATTTTTTTGGAGCAATTTGGTCCAACTTTTTTTTTTATTAGTGTCGCACTAATATTACATTATTCTGTATTAGAACATTATAATAACTTTCCATTTACCAAATAACCATATTATATTGCCTAATATAAAAGATAAACAAATTGAAAGTTAATTATAGGGAAATTAAGAAGATGATGAAATAATTGAACAAGAGGGACAACTAGATAGGGGAGATCAGGAAAGACCTGAGATAATATATATATATATATATCATTGCTCGTAATTAACAATAAATAATTAAATTAACCCATCACTATCCCCCTTACAATAAGTATTAATAATTCTACCAACCATGCTCATCGTCTTCCCAGTCATTGTTCTCTTTGTACATACTGTAATTTCTTTATTTATCTATATATAAAGTGTCCCGTTCAAAAATTATTTTTAAAACATGTGATGATTTTATTTCCAATTGTATTATAATTACAAATACGAATAGATCCAGAAAATATTTATTGGAATATTATTGTCATATACTAATAAAGACAGATCCAAAAACATTTACAAGAGATACTGATACTATCACTATCAAGGCACTATGAAATGAAAAATAAAGCGTATATGAGACTGCGATAGATGAGAACATTTTTTACATTTATCATTTAAAATATATATATATATATATTGTCTTAAATTTTAGATGAAAAAATTAATAAAATTTCTATAATTACAAAATTTTCGGATTAGCAGCAAATGTCAGTCAATTGATATTGAGAGAGATTAATGAGCTTTATAATATAAAGTTAATTGTATTCAACTCATGCACTGGGCTTAGAATTTGCCCGAGACTGGATGGGCTACTTAGAGAGGCGGAAATTGTAACATACACATATTATATTGAATCATAATTAATCAATACCCCAAACCGGATAAAAGTTTCCCTCTTGTACAAAGGACCGGATTAAACCAAATATACAAGTTTGTCCCTTCTGTACCAAACCGGATTAAACCGAACACACGGTTAAAAAGAATTTTCTGGAAAGCCCATACCTCTGATATATTTTTGCATCATATGGGAAAGATCCAAAACATGTAACCATACCATACTATACCACAACCCCATCACACATTCACTCGTTTCTTCGTAAGATTATGGAATTTCATGCCACGTGTAATTTTCGTACCGGTTCGTACTGATGAGAGTCCCAGGACCTTTGCTTTGTCTGTGGCTTTAACGACGAAACGTCACAGTTCCACAACTCGAATCCAACGGTCAGAATCTCAATCCTCAACAATCACATGAATCTTGGACCTACCCATTGTGGTTTTCCATTATAAATAGATGATAAAGCACGGGTCCGAATTCATATATCCCACCAAACACAAAGAAAAAGCAAAGAAGAAGCCAAAGAACAAGAAAGACGGAATGGCTTCTACAATGCTCTCCTCTGCCTCGGTCGCCACCTCACCGGCTCAGGCTCAGGCCACGATGATCGGTCCGTTCACCGGCCTGAAATCGTCCGCCACCCCGTAACCCGCAGGGCCAGCAACGACATGACCTCACTCGCAAGCAACGGTAGCAAAGTTAACTGCATGCAGGTCATATATCTGTCGTTTCCCATTCCCTTACTTTCCCTGGTTGGTGTATCAATTTCTACTCAGAAAAACCGCAAGGACTTTAGTAAAGTTATTTATGAGGATACGTAGTTGGTCGATCAATTGAAAGTAGTTAACAACGATTTTCATTAGAAAGCATATACTAATATGTAAAATAATTATACAATTATTGAAACGTTCTTGTAATGGAAATCGAAATAGGTGTGGCCGACGACCGGAAAGAAGAAGTTCGAGACCCTATCGTACCTTCCAGACCTGAGCCAGGAGTCCTTGGCCAAGGAAATCGATTACCTTCTCCGAAACAAATGGATTAATCCTTGCCTCGAATTCCAACTGGGCGTAAGTTTGCATACAGATTTGCATATATTCATATACGTTTTCAAATCCAAATCCCATATTTTTCTTACCGAATGATTTCGTTTTTTTCTTACAAAAACGCGTAGAACGGTTTCGTGTACCGTGAGAACCACAGGTCCCCGGGATATTACGATGGGCGCTACTGGACGATGTGGAAATTGCCAATGTTCGGATGCACGGACGCCGTTCAAGTGATCAAAGAGCTCGAGGAGGCGAAGAGAGAGCACCCCGATGCCTTCATCCGGATAATCGGATTCGATAACGTCCGCCAAGTCCAATGCATCAGTTTCATCGCTTACAAGCCCAAGGGCTTCTAATAACTTTGAATATCATCTATACGTATACGTGTATATATATATATATATATATCGACCGTGGATACGATGATGTAAGGTAGTGGACTTGTTCCTTTGTGTTGGTGAAGGGCTTTCTCCTGTCTCCGTTCCAACCGGATCCATGTTTATTCTCCGGTTTGTGAGACATTTTCTGTCGTATTCCTAAATGTTCGATGAATAAATACGTAGTTTTGTACGTTCCCTTGGGTTGATGTTGAGTGTCTTCGTTGTGTATTTGACCGTTTTCGTATTCTTATATGTCTATGAAAACGGACAAATAACAAGATTTAGGGTTTGGTAAACGGAAGTGGTCATTGAAGAAGACGACGATTTTATTGAAAAATCGAATTTTGTCGACTGTCGGATACAAGAGAAAATACAGATGTATTATCTAAACAATAAAATAATAAAAAGGGTATGTATAAACCTTTAACAAAAAAAGAAATTGTAATCACTCCCTTGAATCGTATAGTATAATGATTTAATTAGAATATCATATTATAAAACATATTTGGATTTCGCTTTTCAATGAAATTGATAAGCATTCCCTTGAATCGTATCTTTACATAATGGTAGGTCCACATGAAATCTGGGCGATGGACTCATTTGTGGGCGTCCCTGATTGCAATATTGCGTTGGATAGACTTGTGGATAAGAGTTTTATATTTTTTTAATTTTATATTTTTTAAATAAAAATATAGCCAAATATATTCCATAGTTTTTTAATTACCCCAAGATATTTCATTGTTCTTTGAAAACTAATAAATTACTTTTAAGACGCTGGGAAATTTATACATCGTACGGAACGAAATGGGAAGATTTTTTTTTTTTTGTTTGCGTGTAAATGTTGTCCTTTTTACTATTGCGTATGGTATGGGCCGCTATCGAATTCATCGAATTTTGCAACTCAACTATATAATATAGGAATGAAAATAAATTGAACTAACATAAAATAACAGATGCATATATATATATATTTGTAATGTGAAATATTCATTTATTTGATATAATTGCTTCATTAATCGATAATTACTTTGACTAAAGATCCGAAACTAACATCTGGATCATAACGGAAAATCATGTATATAATATACACACACACACACATATATATATATATATATGTATATATGATTGGCTCTTTTCAACTCTTTTAAACTCTTTTAATAAACGGATCGATTCAAAAGAGCTCAAAATCAACGAATTTATGATAATCTATCGGTTGGTAATATGAGTTTTTTTTTTGGCACAAATGCTTTTTTCGCCAATTTATGATATTAAAAATAACATCCGAAATTTTGAAAACATTTAATTTCATATATTTGCAACAGAAAATAATCGATTTTCAAATTCAAAATCGTAACGGTCGATTTTTCATTATATTACACAAGCCATTATTTCTTATGTTAACATTTATGTTTTTAGGCTTTTATCTTCGATTTCAGACATTATTATGACTGATTTTGGGTTCAGTAATATTAATTGAAATGATTCCCAATTGTATTGTTCTTAGAATTTAATTTAACTGATTTTGGAAATATATTTTAACGTACGAATTTCAAAGAAAATGACGTTTTTCTAGATTAGAAACTAAATGTAATTTTCTAAAATTATCTATCTATCTATCTATCTATCTATATATATAATGAATTTAAAACACACACACACACACACACTTCATTGATACATTTACATGGGTGTCCTACAAATTCCAAATACCATCATCCATGACGATGTCAACATCATCATCCATATAACAATCACAAGACAAATTCATACCGCTCATAAATTGGTGATAACGCAGCCAACGGTGCAACCCAAACGCAAACACCGACCATGTCCACTCCTCCTCGTACGTCCACATCTCCGGCCACTCCCCTTTCCACCCGGATAAGGTCATTTCCGTCTTTTCACCCTCGTTCTCGACGAGGGTCTTTTCCTCCACAACTCCTCGATCCATCATCATCCTCGTCGTCTCTCTCTTCATCGACCTCATATAATCATTATTCTCTTTTGTTTATTTGGCCGAGATCTTGCGTTTTGCTTTGAGATTGTCCATCCGAGCTCTAGCGTGTTTCGAGTCTCTTTGGTATTGTTGATCTCCTCTTCTTCTCTTTGTCCCTTTACGTTTTTAGACCGAGTTCAATCTCGCTGTCTTCATATCATCAAATTAAGACGTTAACCTATATATATATACTCAAAGATTTATATAAATATAGATAAAAGTACACAGAAGAGTTATATAAATATATATATTCACGATGACGCATTTAAATGGAAGAAGACAATTTATAACGAGAGACAGAAGATTCTTACGTTATATGAATTAATATATACGCGACCGTTTCTCGTGTAAAATTGGTTTGGTACGTGGACCCGCACAAGAAGGGGACTCATTGACCGGAAGAGTACTTTGGTTTGACTTTTCCTTTGACTCAATTGGAAAATGCTTCTTCTGTCTCCTCTCTCAGACATTTATACATTTATCTCTATATTTACGTGTATACGCACACAAACACACACACACACACATATATATGCATGTGTGTGTGAATATGTGCGTGTATATATCCATGCATATATATATATGTGTGTAGTGTATATAATTTGTATATAAATCGTTTTCGTATGTATATACAATTTTGGGTGGGGAAGAAAATTTATATTTCAGAAAAAATTGGGTATATATATACATAGCGGATAAGATTGATGGAAAAAAAAAACAAGACAGTGATGTAAATTGATGAACAATTTGGACATATACAATGGCGTCTCTATATGTCCACGTTCTCAAGCAATTATGCTTTCCACATATATTTTCTAAAACAAAAAGTCAATACAACTTTTATTTAGATATGATTATGATATCACAATAATTTATGGCACAACCATGAGATGGTTATGTCATAAATATGCTAAATTCTTGAACAGTTGAAATTAGTCACTGTTGGATATAAAAGGTTTTCAAAATAAATTAAAAAATTATAAACTTGGAGTATTCATCTATAAAAAAAAATATATTGAATATGGTGATTTTGTTTTAGTACAAAGCCAGTTTCAATTTGTTAATAAGCACTAATCTATAAAAACACAAAACAGAAATATAACTCTAATATCTAATTTTTAAACAATATTTATAATAAAGTGTTAATCTAAATTATACTGAGATTTCAAATAAATTATATAACAAGGAAATCATATTTATTTTTGAATTTTCACAAGATTTAATTCTTTAAATCCCTAAAATGTCAACCCTAACAACACCGACTTTTGTCTTTGTGGATGGCACGTGATCGCTGTGTGCCAGAAGCATTAGCACTCTTTTCTTGTCGTGTGGTGCAACTGGTCTTGATTATTGTCCTGTTAAATTTCTCTTAAAAAAATACATTACCAAAAAATAAAAATACCTTTTTATATAAAATAATCGAAATAAAAGCGAAAATATTTTTTTAAAAAAAAAATTAAAATAAAAGGGATGAGCGACGCAACAGTAAGAAATCGAGAGCTGAGTACAGAGCACCTTTACTTGGCTTTCTTCTCCACTTCGCCTTTTAGTGGAAAACCCCATCAATAGTTTCTCTATACATTTATATATACATATAGATTTGTATGTAACTACATTCTGTGTGTGTATATATACACGCATAGAGGTCGCTCAACAAGCTGATGAAGCGCCTATCGTTTGGGACAAAGGGTAGTGGAAATCTGCATCGGAGATGGCTCTGTCCTCTTGTCTTTTCCAGCCTCTGTCGTCGCATATCTCGGTATTTCTTTTGAATCTTGTTCGATCTTGCAAAAAATCATTGGATCCCCAGGTCGTATTTCTGTATGTACATGCTGCCAATACAAGCGCTGAGTCTTTCGTTAGATTGGATTCTTGGGTATTATTTCGGAATAGATTTTGGATTCTGTATATGTCACTGTAGAAAGAACCCTACTGAATGGATCCCGGACGCAACACACTATACAATTTGTGTAGAGATTGGGATTTATTTCTTTCTGAGAAATGGGAGTTTTCTTGGATTAGCGTTTCTTGATTTTCTTTTTCCAGTAAGAAATCAGTGGAAGAGTGCTTGTCTTTCTGGAGTTTACTACAAAACCAAATCGTTGTTCAAGATAGGGTTTACGAGATTCAAATCCAAGAAAGTGACTGTCTTTTATGACAAAATGACTCAAAAGTCTGTTTCTTGTCCTTGTCTTTGCGTATTGCTTATGTTTTCTGGACTTGTGAGTGTATCTGAGATAGTTTCAGAGGAGATTTATGTTCAAGATCTTCAGCGATCCTGGTTCTGGTTCTGTCTTGGCAATACAGATAGCGCAGAATCACAACGTCCGGAGGAATTCGGTAACTGGTTTCGATCTGAGAAGCATTAACACGGCACTAAACGGGCAAACGTTCTTCGTTTCTTCAAGAACTCGCTTCCACAGCCATTGGAGTTTTGCCCGAGGATCAAGAATCGCTCCTCTACCCAGTGTTGCATCAGATCCGTCTCTCGGTTTCAGAAAAGTTTCCTGCATACAAGCTTCTTGTGCTGCATCTAAGCCTCTTTACTTATCCTTCCTAGACTTGTTATGGATCAAGAATTCAAGATTCTTACCCGATTTTACGTTTAACTTAACATCTTTGCAGGGCTGACAAGTACTCAGATCGCGAGCAGTGTGTTTACACTTGGAACAGCGGCTGTTCTACCGTTCTACACGCTAATGGTTGTAGCCCCGAAAGCTGAACTCGTGAGTTTCATCTAACCCGATATCCTTTTTCCCCGGGTTTTGTCTGAATCTTGACATTGATCTTTGTATGTTCCTGATAGTACAAAAACCTTGAGATTTCCTTTGTTCTGTCGGATAATTTTTTATTGGCAGACGAAGAAGTGTATGGAGAGTAGCATACCGTATATCGTATTAGGTTTATTATACGCGTATCTGTTGTACCTTTCCTGGACGCCAAACACTCTCCAGTTCATGTTTTCGAGCAAATACATGCTTCCAGAGGTTCGTACTCTATCGATTACAAAGACTCGGTTCGGTTATTCTTGTCTTGTCTTGTCTTGTGAATATATATGTGTGTTTATGTATTGAATCTGCAGCTATCCGGTATAGCGAAAATGTTCTCCAGCGAAATGACTCTTGCTTCGGCTTGGATTCATCTTCTGGTCATTGATCTTTTCGCCGCAAGGTATGCGACTATAACTTGATAAAAGTTGTATGAACTTATCTGCATTTCGTTATAACATCAACTCGTTTTCAGATCAAACTCCTCGATACTTTGTTAATACGTATAAATACTCTATAAATACGAATTTAGATACAAACCGAATTCGTAACATGTGTTGTTGAATGATGCAGGCAAGTTTTCCATGATGGGTTAGAGAACAAGATCGAGACGAGGCACTCGGTCTCGCTTTGCCTTCTCTTTTGCCCCATTGGAGTCTTTTCCCATTTCATAACCAAAGCTCTAACCAGCAGCAGTTCCTCCAATCCCAAACACTCCAAGTAAACCGGACATAACCGGTTATCCGTCCCAGGACGAGAACCCATGTTTCATTCCTTCTCTGCAAACTTCTTTGTTAATCACTTTCTTCACTACAACGAATCAGTGAGATCAAATCATGTTCTGAATTTATACTTTGAATATGTCAGCGTCCATGAGAGTATGCCAGTAAGCATCATGATTGTATATCTGAATCTGTAAAAAAAATCACCAATGCCTCAAATTCAAGAAACGGGAAAAAATGACAGTATAAGGTGAAAATGGCACTTAATTGTTTGTAAATGGGCCTTAGTTGGGCCAATTTAAACATGGGCTTTCTTACGACAGATTGGTAAATATTAGTGAAATGGAGGGGTAAAAGTGTTAAACAAACAACCAGATAAAGATCAAGAAATAGCCGGCGAGTGTTAGTTAAGCTCGAGAACAATGGCTTCCGTGGCCTCTCTCTCCGGCCTCTCCTCTCTCACAATGAGAGTTAAGCCCTTATCGGCTCTCAGTAATCCCCCGAGAACGGCGGTTCCGTACGATCTGAATCAGGGTCAGAACCGTCTTCTCCATAGGCTTCCTTCTGGTCTGAAAATGGAGGTAATCGAGCAGAGAAGAAAAAGCTTCGTTGCCGGGGAAAATCAAAACCCGCCTCTGGTTTTTGTCCATGGAAGCTACCATGCAGCGTGGTGTTGGGCTGAGCATTGGCTGCCATTCTTTTCTTCTTCTGGGTTCGACACATATGCTGTTAGCTTGTTAGGTCAGGTAACTCGATTTCCACCATAAGACCTTAAATTATGCCCATTCTACGTTTTAGTGGAGAACGATTTCTGTTGAAAGTGTTAGCGCCTCTGATCTGGGTTCTTATTAGCATTGCGTATTTGTGGCCGCCAGTGTTGTGATCATGATCGGATCCCTTAGGGACACCATTGAAAACGTTCAATTTCGGATCTTTTTGCTAAATGTTGATTTGTGTTATGTGAAATCTGCAGGGCGAAAGCGATGTACCTTCAGGAAAAGTCGCCGGGACTCTCCAGGTACTTCAACTCTCAGAAATCATCACATTACACATGTTTTTGTGGATCAAATCTCCATTTTCTTAGAACCCTTTTCAGCAAAGCCCTGAATTCACATGTTTTCTGCAATAGACGCATGCAAGTGATATTGCAGACTTCATCAAAGCAAATCTTAGCTCTTCCCCGCCTGTTCTTATCGGTCATTCTTTTGGAGGGCTCATCGTCCAATATTACTTGGCAAATATCGCAGACAAACAATCCTCAGGTATGCATTTTTCATATGTATCACTAAATAATCAGATCAGCTATAAATATTTGTTTCCACACGATATTAGGATTTACCCTTTTTGTTTCTAGGAATGGAAAACGCATTTCCGGAACTTTCTGGTGTAGCGCTCGTCTGCTCGGTGCCACCTTCGGGTAATAGGTGACATTTCACAACCACTTGTTGCATATATCAGTAGTAGTAGTACTATCGGCTATTGCTTATTCCATACAATATTTGAATTTTACGACCCTCTGTTCTTGTTTAGTGGGCTAGTGTTGCGATATCTCTTCACCAAACCTGTTGCTGCTTTTAAGGTAATAACTCTTTTCCGTTTTCAATCTTGAAACAATGTCCCACTTCCTTCGTTTCTTCTAATCCATTCTTGGGCAGGTAACTCTCAGTTTGGCTGCCAAGGCTTTCCAGACATCCATTCCGCTTTGCCGGGAGACTTTTTTCTCTTCAACCATGGACGATAACCTTGTTCAGCGGTATGCCTAAAATGTCAGCTTATCCTTTTGTCACATACTTTACCCGAATACGAACAGTACCTTTCGAATATAAAACAAAATATTTGGTCCGTTTTCTCTGGTTCAGTTACCAGGGCCTGATGCGAGAAAGTTCCCATGTACCTCTCTTTGATCTAAGGAAGCTAAACGCATCACTTCCAGTGCCAAAACCTGTGCAGAATTCCACCAGAGTTCTCGTCTTGGGTGCCGAGGATGATTTCATAGTGGTAAGAACTGCCTTTTCCTTCCTCGAAATTCATGAAATACCAATGCTGAATCTCAGTATAGCAATAACCAGACCAGAAAGTCCGGTTTTGGTTAGCTACTCAGCCCGAGTTCTTTCACATAAGGTCGGGAATTTCTGTTAAACCGGAATTGGTACGGTTTTGTAGGATGAGAAAGGGCTGGAGGAAACCGCCGGGTTTTACGGTGTTGAACCGGTTTGTGTTGAAGGTGTTGCCCATGACATGATGTTGGATTGTTCATGGGAGAAAGGTGCTGAATTTATTTTGTCTTGGCTATCCGGTTTATCTAAACCGGAAAATCTGTCAGCCTGAGAGAAATTTTGAATTCATTTATTTGGGGTCGTCCAACGGTGAGATAATGAAACATTTTTATACGATGATAATTTCATTTCTTATTAGTAATGTTCATGTTTTTGGTAATAATAAATTAATAAAATACATATGCTTTTCAGTGAAAGGTTTATAATGGGATATGCTAATCTTCTTCGTCTATCTTTCTTTGGAAGAATCTGCTGCTGATGCCAGCTCTATAAAGTTTCACTTCATTATTATCTCCTGTCACTTGAATCTCGGTATGGGAAGGAGCAAAAAGAACATCACCCCGGTTAACCGGGAATTGAGATGAACCGGTTTGCAATTTCCCTTTCCCTTCAATGACCAAGAAAACCGAAGGCCCCGGTACAGCCGGAAACACTGTTGATTCCCCGGAGGGAAGGTCACAACGGTCCACTTCGAATTCATCGAACGGAGGAAGATATCTCGTGATGTATGGACTCAATGGAAATCCTTTCAGTATTTCCGGGTAACCCTGAGAGAGAACCGAAATCATATCGGTATGGTTAGTGAAATAACCGACAGAAACAACATAGATAGTTAGCAAACCGGTTCAAGAACCCATTTCAAAATGATGACTGATACATGTTGCCATAGATTCAATAGAAATATATAAACTCTAACATAAAAAATTTCCAATAATTAGATAAAATGATTATTACCAGATTGTAAGTGAGCATGGAGCAGAGGGTACGGACATCGCGGAACTTAGGGGTGAGACCGGCTCTGACGACGTTGTCGGAAGAAGCCATACACTCGATACATTCACCGGAAATGTAGGCATGAGGCTCGTTCGCACCCAAATACAAAGCCTCGCCCGGTTTCAGCTTCACGTAGTTGAGGAACAACGAAGACATCACCCCAATGTCTCCTGGATACTGCCTCCCCAATCTTACAGCCAGTCCATCTTTTTCCGACAACAGTTCACCGTCCTGTTGAAGTTTCTTGGATCAATATTCAGTATATATACAGACCTAATATACGATTTTGGAAAGTTGATAAACACTAACTCACCGTGCCCTTGGACCTCAGACGATTCGTCAGCTTTGAAACGGCATCTTTAGTTGCATCAGAGCCAGCAGACATGAGTTGAGTGAAGATTAGTCGAACAAGTGGTTTTGCTCTCTCATCCCCGTCTCCTTCATCCACTTGGAGGATCTTGTCTGCAACTTGGTTTCCTACGAGCTCTGTAATTTCTGGCACACTTTCAAGAACCTCCTTGAGCTCCTGAGAGAGATGACAGTGCATGCACTTAAATGAGAGTCCGTGGATGCTATGATGCCATGTCATGTCAACATAACACTGGAACCTGAAGAGAGACGAAGCCGCAGAGGGCTTCGAAAGGAGACAAGGCAAGAGCCATCTCGGGCTTGTGGTTGTCGTCTCCGTAGAGAAGAGGCTGTTCTCTGTGCAATGCCACTGCCAAGTCCTTGTCGGGATGCGCCTGTATTGACAGCGCCTTCTCCACTGACAGCACCTGCATGCATGTATCTATAGTTTGTCACCACTCAACCTCAAAAGAGAGTGATAACCAAATTTGGGCAATTGAATCGGTGAAATATATACAAAGATTTCATCCCGAGTCTGAATCTCAAATTTGAGAAGAAATGTATATATTTTAAATTATATGGTTGACTCTCGATTCCGAATACGGGTTTTGGTGCACCAAAAAAAATTTAAAACCAATAATTAAATTTTATTATTAAAAAAACATAGATTTGCTTTGGTCAAAACAGAGCATCCAACCATAATATATATAGAAACAAACAACACCGCATTTGGACATGAAATAGTGTTTTCACGAAAAGATTTAGTGATGGAGTAGATTTAGGGGGCGACTGGTTGTACCGCAGCGATTGCGGTTGCGGATGACGGCGTTTTCAGAGCGTTTGATAGTGACTGGTTGTACAGCCTGAGATGTATATATGTGTATATTATATATATATGTGTATATTATATATATACACGCACCCTGAACATCACTTTACAATGAAATGACATAATTCCATAAAAAAAAAACGACATATTAATGATAGAATAATATAAAACTATAATCATAGGAGGATATAACAATGGGATGTTTAAACTTGTTTATAAGATAAATAATCATAAATCCAAAATCACGATCTTATGCAATTTTTTTTCCTCTTTTTCACAGGTTTCCAAAAAAAAAATCTATATTAACTACTAGGCATTAGATTTTCATTTCAACCAAGAAAATATAGAGTATATATGTATAACATTAAGTGTGTGTATATATATAGATAAATATGCATACCTTGAACAAGAAGGGGAGATCGCATCCCCACTTCTCCAAAACTGTACGGCCAAGCACATTCGGGTTCTCCGAAATCCACGATTTCAAGGTCACTGACCCGGACCCGTTCTCCGCCGACGGCACAACGTGACTCGGTCCCGACTCGAGCGTGCCCATCCACAACTCGGCGTAAGGAACTGCCGGATCAACTCGTGACCCGGAATTCGCCTCATGGAGACCCGCGACCAGAGAATCCGACCCGACTTTGCCCCACTCGTAGTTCTTCACGGCGCATCTCAGCCGTAGAATCCCGCCGGCGAGATCTCCGCCGTTCGTGTGAATCCCGTTCTCGCCCATCTAATGTTGATCAAAGAGAAGATTTTGATTGACGGTTATGCCGCGTATATGACCGTGCGTGTATATATACGCGTATATGTGCTTGTATATATTCACAGTTGGAGAGAGAAATATGAAAATAGAAGGAAGTTGAAACGTTTTTTGCAAGAAGGAACAAAATAAATGGATTAGGGAAGCGAAATGACTCTTGCTTCGGCTTCGATTCC